CATGTAAATCACATGTACGAGATAAGGTCGTGAGTCAGAGAATCGAACTCTGTGGTGGTAATTTTTTCCCTCCCATGGGCTAGTCCTTCTGGTTACATTCTGCTGTGAGATAGGATCATGACTCATGATATTCCTCGATATTCAAGTTCCGTAATGCTTCAACTCGGAGCTAACTATTGTCGGGTCTATATTGAATAATGCCCGCACTTGCCTGTAATTTTTTTTATTTTTTTGCAGGTTTAAACGATTTATGCATTAGGGTTCTTAATTTCTTTATAGTTTAAGATCAAGGGTGTTGAAATTGTTGGTTACCATGTCCATGGTTTCTGATATTAGATTCACAAGTTGCCTGATATTCTTGAATAGATTCAATTTAATTGTGGTTGGCGCTTTCCTTTGTTTTAGTGTGTGGAGGGTTAGGCCCCTCATAACCTTGTCATTGGAGTTCGTATCGTGTGTTCGTGTGGATGGTTCATATTCCCACCTCTATCTTGTCATGTTGCTGTTGTTCTTTTTCACATTTTGGGGAAGCATATTTTTCTTTTTGTGGACCATGTTTGTTGATTATTGTAAAATATTTTTTTTGTCTCAATCCCAGATTCTGTGGCCTCCTCCTAATGTTCTAACAAGTCCCAATTGTATGATTTGTATGCTATGGTTGTAGATATTTTAACTCATTGTGGTGTTTCTGCCCTGGAGAGGATATGCTTTCTTCTTTAGAGTGTGTATGGCTTCCATTCTCTTTATTATCTTTTTTCTCTGAAAAATGTTTCCACTCATTTTGTTTCCCTGATGTCTTAATAGTGGGGTGCACATGTGATGCATAACACGGAAGAGTACGTCACCAAAATAAATAAAAACCCAGTACTTAATCTTTAAAATACGTGGATGCTTTTGGTTATGCTTCTTCTTTCCTGATTTTGTGCTAGGTTTGTAGAACCGTGGTCAAGTGATTTTGGGAAGCTCCAAAACTGGTAGTTCTTGGCAACACCAATTATCGATGTGCATAACTTGCTGATAAGGTTGAAATCAAAGAGCGAGGGAGAGATAAATGCACTAGAGCATGGGCTTGAAATCAAAGATTGGTTGTATAGTCTTCATTTGGCTTAGTTGTTGATAAGGTCATGGCATCACCCCCATTTACAAGGTTGCAATTTTGCGAAACAATTGCTATAAACCTTATCAAAAGATGTGGAGAACCAACACATTGTTTACTTCTTCCATTTCTCTTGGGTTAGATGATTGTCTACTCGGTGCTTACACGTGTGCTTCTAACCCAAATACGACTATAAAACTTGTAAATGATGTATGATGTTGAATCACGTTTTCTATCCTATTCCACTCTTGTCGGGTGGTGGTTGTAATGTATCTTTTGCTCTCAAGCTCTAGGCCTGCACTTATCACTAAAGAACCTTAGTGAACATTGAATACAAGTTCTTTAAAGAATGACGTGGAATTGGTAAGCATAATTTGGATTCAACCTGTAAAAAGCGAGCCTAGGCGAGAAACTAAGCGAAGCGAGCCTTGAACATCCAAGGCGAAGTGAGATTAAGTAAAACGAGAAAAAAACGAACTTAAGCGAAGAAACAAGCCAGGCGAGAAAAACAAACGCCTACTTACAATTTTTTTATTTTCTCCTCCTCCTCCTCCTTCTTTAACATTAACCAAATCCTAACAGAGATAATGTTATATGCGTATATATATAAAATAAATTGAGTGATTCGTGTAACAGTATCATATGACAACATGTCTTATTATGATTAGATAATATTGAATGCTTTGTTTTTATGTGAATGCTCTTGTTAATCAATTTGTTATATGCTCAATTTGATTAATTAATTTGTGAGTACTTTGTTTAGTGGTGATATTAATCAATTACGGTGGAAGTTGAACCCACATTTGTTAACTTTACATTTAGATGACGTGATTATGTAAATTGATTATTTTTAGAATACAATATTTTTTAATATTTAATATTTTGTCTATTTAAAATATGTTGATATTTTATTTTGATTGTATTTAAATATTTTGTATTTGTAAAGTTAAAATTTGAATATTTAGGAGAAATCAACGNCTAGCCACTTGAGAATGAGTATATTGAGAGAGTCCCGCGAAGAGAATATAGTTGAAAATTGTTTTGGAGCAGCAGTGTGGGATAAGAATTCATGAATAAGCAGGAGCCTGATCGCTTTTAATCTATTACACGAACCAAAGTAAACCCGAATTGTAATGCTAAACAAGGATGAAGCAAAAGTGTACAATGATAAGTACAACAGATCTCGGCTTGATTAGCCTACCTCTGCTTCTCTGTCAAAAACTGAACATAACTCTCTGTTTGATTGCTCAAAGGACATGGAGGAGAATGAAAACTTGGAATCTGGTAACACATTTGTGTTGTAATGTACAACTTGGAATCTGTTTTTTCCCCCGTTCTCCAAAAAGATATGCCATTTACTGACATAAAGAGTCATCAAAAACATTACTAGCTCAAAAAGTCCCATGGCTATATTATAGCCAGCTNCCCCACTAAGGGGGAATACTGTATGAATCCTGTGCTTTCCTCATCCCTTGTATCATGTTGGATTATCATTCTTTTGGGAAGCAAAACATTTATATTGTGTTTTGAATATTGCTGCATAAATTTGATTCTCATTGTAGTGTTCATTATGAAGCAAAAGATTATCATGACTATAAGAAAATTTTATTTTGGAGAAATTAATATATGCTAGAGGAGTATGATCGTATGGAAATATACCATTGCGTAAATTATTTTGGCCATGACAATGTTGAGGCTTTGAATAAGTTTATTGAAATGCCTGAGCAGCCATTTTTAAATGTATCTTATTAGTACATTCTTCTTGCAGGTTTTTTACTAAATTCATGTTGTAAGACAAGCTGTTCGNGGATATGAATTAACGGACGATTTCGAAAGGAGTCACTTGTTCTAGGATGATTCACATTTTTCGGACATATGACATATTTATACTAGATGCCTATCTAGGACTATAGAAAACTTGAGTATACCACACGGAATGGTCACATTTTCAGACCACGACCTCATCGATTCAGTTTGATTGCCGTTCCATAACAAGTCACTTTATGTTCCAGTGTTGATGCGAGGATTGACCCTCCCCACTAAGGGGGAATACTGTATGAATCCTGTGCTTTCCTCATCCCTTGTATCATGTTGGATTATCATTCTTTTGGGAAGCAAAACATTTATATTGTGTTTTGAATATTGCTGCATAAATTTGATTCTCATTGTAGTGTTCATTATGAAGCAAAAGATTATCATGACTATAAGAAAATTTTATTTTGGAGAAATTAATATATGCTAGAGGAGTATGATCGTATGGAAATATACCATTGCGTAAATTATTTTGGCCATGACAATGTTGAGGCTTTGAATAAGTTTATTGAAATGCCTGAGCAGCCATTTTTAAATGTATCTTATTAGTACATTCTTCTTGCAGGTTTTTTACTAAATTCATGTTGTAAGACAAGCTGTTCGGTTATTCCCATTTGTCTCTATCTATTGGTGGGGAGGTATATGAAGGAATGAGTCAGTGGACTAAGGAATGAAAGCTCAAACACAGAGAGAACTGGGCTTTTCCAAAGAATAACTTAGTTTTCCCAATCTCGGGGGCAATTTGCCTTTCATCAAAATTGAATGGACAAGGCTTAGATTGCATAGGCACCCTTCCCTTAATCTCTTAAACGATTCAACTTGTTAGATCTGTCAATAGGCCTTTTCGATGGGGCTAGCCACTTGAGAATGAGTATATTGAGAGAGTCCCGCGAAGAGAATATAGTTGAAAATTGTTTTGGAGCAGCAGTGTGGGATAAGAATTCATGAATAAGCAGGAGCCTGATCGCTNAAAGAGAACCCCCCCCCCCCCCAAAAAAAAAAAAATAATAAATAAATAACTACTAAATAACCACCCAAAAAATTGATTTAAAAAATAAGATTTATGAGTAAATTTCAGAGGAAAGAGGGTCTATGAGCACTATTAGCNACAAATCTTACTCTTACAAACTAAAAGATTGTTTCCATCAGTTACTTCCAATATCTTCTCTCTTATTATACTTCATGAGGACATAATGTAAGATTTTTCCATGTATCGATATGACTTAGATCTTTTTTTAGTATAATTTAGGGATAATAGTACTTTCGGTTTTTAAAGTATACATTTTTTGTCAGTTTAATCCTTATTGTATCAATTTGATCTTTAAAATATTCAATTCGTATTATTTTGATTCATACATACATAGAACGTTAAGTTTTTAACGGAATGATCACGTGTTGGACACGTAATACCATCTAAAAAAATAACATGTGATCACTTCTGTCAAAAAAGTTAGCAAATTGTCTAATTAAGTATCTAAACGACACAAATTAAATATTTTAAAGACAAAATTGATACAATAAAGACTAAACTGACAAAAAATTTATACGTTAGCAACCAAAAGTACCTACTAAACCTCAATTTAGTGGTACATCACCTAAGTGAGAGTCATTACATAATAGTAAGTCTCTCATCATCAATATACGATGGTTGATCTTCCATTGAAAGAAAATGAGAGACTGTTCTGTAGAATAGAGTGCATCCATGGCAAAACGTGTACAACAACATATAAATCGATCCTAATACAAGCAATTCTCATTCATCATATATTTTATGATCACACAATTGTATTTTGTACTGAACAACCAAAGAAAAAAGACGCATAGAATGTACACTAACACCACCATGGTACATGGAGCCAATTCTCCATGTAGCCATTTTTCAAGCAACTCTGCCTCAGCCACGCCTCAGTGCGGGCATGGTGTCCCCGTGAAATAACCTGAATTCCTGTCTCTAAGCAGGAAATGGCATTTGGAGGGGAGAACCATAAACCAAGATGACAAGTAAATTGGTGAAAAATGAACTCCACATCTCTTACCCTATCTCTCTCTTTCTCTCACTGACCTCGCAAACTTTAAAACAACTTCTTTTGATCTACATTTGGCGTGAAGCTCGATGGGCAGATGGACTAGGCAGACTTCGCGAGCCCAAGCTTGCAGTTCTTAAAAGCCTACGGAATTCAGACAAGCTTATCTTCCCATCTTTGTCAATATCCGCCTCCTCTAGAAGTGGGTCTATAGAGCCTCTTAAGCCCGTATACTGCAAGCCGAAAATACAATGTTAGTAGGAACTAGATATTATGCTGTTAAAATTTTTCCAGTGGAAAAAAGTACATGATTCCAGGTGTAATAATAAATAACAAAATTGATGTGGGTTCCTAGCAATGTGATTTCCTATTCCAAATGCAATGACAGGATAGCACTTTNTGTTAAAATTTTTCCAGTGGAAAAAAGTACATGATTCCAGGTGTAATAATAAATAAAAAAATTGATGTGGGTTCCTAGCAATGTGATTTCCTATTCCAAATGCAATGACAGGATAGCACTATNTGTTGGACACGTAATACCATCTAAAAAAATAACATGTGATCACTTCTGTCAAAAAAGTTAGCAAATTGTCTAATTAAGTATCTAAACGACACAAATTAAATATTTTAAAGACAAAATTGATACAATAAAGACTAAACTGACAAAAAATTTATACGTTAGCAACCAAAAGTACCTACTAAACNTTTTTCCATGTATCGATATGACTTAGATCTTTTTTTAGTATAATTTAGGGATAATAGTACTTTCGGTTTTTAAAGTATACATTTTTTGTCAGTTTAATCCTTATTGTATCAATTTGATCTTTAAAATATTCAATTCGTATTATTTTGATTCATACATACATAGAACGTTAAGTTTTTAACGGAATGATCACGTGTTGGACACGTAATACCATCTAAAAAAATAACATGTGATCACTTCTGTCAAAAAACTTAACAAATTGTCTAATTAAGTACCTAAACGACACAAATTAAATATTTTAAAGACAAAATTGATACAATGAAAACTAAACTGACAAAAAATTTATACTTTAGCAACCAAAAGTACCTACTAACCNTAGCAACCAAAAGTACCTACTAAACCTCAATTTAGTGGTACATCACCTAAGTGAGAGTCATTACATAATAGTAAGTCTCTCATCATCAATATACGATGGTTGATCTTCCATTGAAAGAAAATGAGAGACTGTTCTGTAGAATAGAGTGCATCCATGGCAAAACGTGTACAACAACATATAAATCGATCCTAATACAAGCAATTCTCATTCATCATATATTTTATGATCACACAATTGTATTTTGTACTGAACAACCAAAGAAAAAAGACGCATAGAATGTACACCAACACCACCATGGTACATGGAGCCAATTCTCCATGTAGCCATTTTTCAAGCAACTCTGCCTCAGCCACGCCTCAGTGCGGGCATGGTGTCCCCGTGAAATAACCTGAATTCCTGTCTCTAAGCAGGAAATGGCATTTGGAGGGGAGAACCATAAACCAAGATGACAAGTAAATTGGTGAAAAATGAACTCCACATCTCTTACCCTATCTCTCTCTTTCTCTCACTGACCTCGCAAACTTTAAAACAACTTCTTTTGATCTACATTTGGCGTGAAGCTCGATGGGCAGATGGACTAGGCAGACTTCGCGAGCCCAAGCTTGCAGTTCTTAAAAGCCTACGGAATTCAGACAAGCTTATCTTCCCATCTTTGTCAATATCCGCCTCCTCTAGAAGTGGGTCTATAGAGCCTCTTAAGCCCGTATACTGCAAGCCGAAAATACAATGTTAGTAGGAACTAGATATTATGCTGTTAAAATTTTTCCAGTGGAAAAAAGTACATGATTCCAGGTGTAATAATAAATAACAAAATTGATGTGGGTTCCTAGCAATGTGATTTCCTATTCCAAATGCAATGACAGGATAGCACTATTACAATTGGCATGTTTAATTTCAACTGTTGTGGCCTACTGTACCAGTTTGGGTACGATATGTAAAAGAATGAATTTGGCTTGCAATCATAGAGAACAACTCAAATGCCAATCTCAATGTTCCAATTAATAAGACCTAAAAATGAACTGAACCATCATTACGAGTACATTAATGCAAGCCATAAGACTCACCATTCTAAGTTCTTCTGGGGTTATATATCCATCCCTATCAACATCAAATTTCTCGAAAGCAGCCTGGGACCTTTGCTGCCACTTTTCAGAGTTGTGTTCCTCCAACTGATGGACATGAAGAGTGGCTGCAACAAACTCCGGGAAATCCACAAGCCCATCAGTGTTACTGTCAATCTGCTCCAAGCAACATAAAACCACATCAGGATTCCATACCATTGAAAATATATGCTAGTCAGGAGCAAGAAGTCAAAATATAAATGCCAAGCCAGGGCTTTTAGGGAAAAAGAATTTGAAAGAATGATCATCAAAGCACAGTGATGGATTGTGCAAGATCTAAATTATCATTAATGTCAAGCTCCAAAGTACATACTCATTGATTTTTTTTTTATTCTTTTCTTAGTGCAGGAACTAGAAGGTAAAAAAAAGATGGATAAGAAAAAATGTACAGTGAGGACATAGGCAAAGCCTCAACACTGATACAACTATTTTCTGAAAATAGGCTTGCCACTTGAAAAATACACATTCTTATTTTAAAAAAGTTGTCACTCAATCATTTCGCTTTTAAGTGTGGGAAAACAAGGGGGGAAATGCATTATGGCTTACTAAGTCTCAACAAGAGTGCGGCATAGAAAAAAAAAATCTGACGGTGAATTACACCAAAAGTTCATGCTGTTAGAGAATGAGCCCTCATCATATATATCAAGCTCTCAACACCTCCACCATGTTTAGAGTGAGATCCCCACCAATAAATTTTTCCTCCATTATCCTCTGTGGTATATCACCTACCATGAGTTCAAGTGGAAACCATTATAGATAAGTGGGTCCCTCATGAATGCATGGCAGATGATCTACGAATGAGAGAATGGAGTGAACAAGTATTAGGGATCTTGGTCCCTCATGTTTGGCCCCTGCCCACGTGGAGTCGTCAAACCACCAAGTGCATTGGTACAGACAAATAGCAGAAAAACAGTTGTACTCTTATTTGCAAACACATGGAAAACCATATGCAACAGAAAGGCTTGAACCCAAGACCTCCAGCAACCAAAAATCTGATATATTACTCCAAAAGCTTCAGCTATTAGAGAATGAACCAAACAATGTATATCAAGCTCTCAATAGTAAAATCCTTGAAGATTTGAAACTTTATTCTGAAAATATATGCTTACCGCTTGAAGAATCTCCAAAACACGTGATTCTTTCACCTTCCATGGAAGATCTTTAGCAAGTGCCTGCAAACCAGAAGGATAAAATGGGCGCAATACAAAATATGCATGTTTAAGTGTATTCGTGGTACAATTAATAAATGTAAACCGATATACATAGCCTAATCCTACCTAGCATTTTAAGAAAATGGAAAAATTTCTTAAAAGACCATACTCCAGAGACTGATATGTAAAAGAGAACATGCCTGTCTCATTTCTTCAAGGCTAATTGAACCATTTTTATCCACATCAATTGCAGAAAATTGATCTTTTAGATCAGCCAACTCCTCTCCATCAATTGTGCTAGCCAATGCCTGTAACATAATAAAATATGCTAGGCAAATTATGATTCGTCATATTGAAATCAATATAGGGAAACATTATTATAGATTTTCCCTGAAAATTTCCAACCAAAAGAAAATATTTTACCCTTAGAGCAAATTGTTTCAAACGACTGTATCTCACAAATTGTCGCATGTTGGATAGAACTGAGATATCTAAAGGAATCTCTGAGGCATTTCCCCCTTCTCGAACCCATGGGTGTGCTGGAAAAGTTGGATGGATCAGAAAGATACAGGGGCAAAATGTAGACCACAATATATTTTAACCATCAATAATGGATGAAAACTTTCAGAAGATAGACGCCAACTTGTACACGCCAACCATTAGCAATATTTTTAGGATTTTACCACTCTAAATTCAACCAGCGTATCATTTGTTTCTAGTAGATGACAAAAAGGTCTAAGAGAAAATACAGTTCCTTCTTTCAAAACCTTTGCAATCGAAGTCAGATCATTTCCTTGACTAAAAGGTAGCTGTCCATCCCTACTTGCCCACTGATCTTAATTGAGATTTATGGGGGACCTCTCTCCCACAACTGAAGCAGGAAATGAGATTCACATAATAGGCAGTTGTTAACCATCAGGGGTAAGCCCAGATGGCAGATGGCCAAGGTCTCAAACCCCATTTGAGAGGTCTGCAGTCCAAACCTCAACAGACGTGAGGTGTGTATGGTGGAAAAAGACTAGCCCTTACCAGGTGTTAGATGTGAATTTGGTCCCCACAAGTTACTTACCAGCTATCACATCCCCCCCTTCCCCTTAGGTAGGCTACACACTGTATTGTGTATCAAAAAGCAGGAAAAAAAAAGGGTAGTTGGTGTCAGGAAAAGAGCTGGTCACAGTATGATCTAAAACTTCAATAAACCACACAATTCCTTAACCCCGCCTTGAATAGGTGTAACTTGTAGCTAAGGCTAACTGGTATTCTAGTTCCCATTATAAACAACATCTATTACTTCATATAGCAAACAGAAACATACACAGGGCCTGAGCAGCAGTAAGTCTTGCACGAGGATCCTTCACCAGCAATTTCTTCACAAAATCTTTAGCACTGTTGCTTATGCTTGGCCACGGTTTGCGGCGAAAGTCAGGTTTGTTTCGTAAAACCTGTGAATATTTCAAAGAGAGTCAGAAAACTAAAAACCGAAATTATGACACGGGCAAAAGAGAACAACATCAAATATAGCACCAATCTGATCAGAAAAACTTTATGACTAAGGAGTTTAACAGCATGGCCCTCTTCGGCGTTTTGCGGAGCTGGTCTGCTATTTGTAGTTGCTAGAAATTTCTTATTTTATGCTTTCTGTCTATGTAGGACAGTTATGCTTGCTTTGTATTAGGTGGGGATTACTTGTTCTCATTTTGTACTACTTTTTTCTTGT